GTTTATAAGTTTATGTGGATCATGCAAGATAGAGTTAGGATTTAGAAACGTTAACTTGCTTAGGCCAAAGACTCGAGTTCAAGCCTTACCTAGCTTAGCTCGCTGGCTCACAAACCGACTCGATCATTACTGTTGTTATATCAAGTTTTTGTTGCATCACAAGTTCACACACTCCTCTTATTCTTCAACCATCGCAGGTCTCATCCATGCACTTTTCAGTGAGCTCTCGTCAATGCCTTCTCTAATAAGCTCCCATCGCAGTTGTTATTGTCGCATTATCCACTGAGCTCCGGCTGCTAGTCCCATCGATGCGTTCTCCAGCTCAGCTCCCATCTCTACTTCTCCTAATGCCGCCAGACTTTTCATTATCTTCTCCAATGAGCTCCGTCTCTATCTTTTTCCAACGCCACTCGTCCCATCCTTGCCTTCCCCAACGATCTCTCGCCCATTTCATCTCTTAAGAGCTCCCATCCTTGTTCAATGAGTTTCCATCGCAATTTTGGCTTTCACTATTTATTTTTGTTGGTGAAGAGATTTGCAAAAAGAGAGAGAGAGGGTGAAACATTGAGCTTTATAAATTAATATTACTTGGATGGATTAATTAATGAATAAATCAGTGAATGTTTTTTTCCCCTTACAATTCGATTTTTTTTTTTTTTTGTTGTAATTTTCTGAAACGTGAAATGTTAAACCAATTTTATGCTTTTCTGCAATTTTTAATTAAATTTTAATTATGATAATTAGTTGATCACCCTCTCTTAGATTTAAATTCTTTATTAGATTTAAACGAGAATTTGACTTTTAATAGGACACAATGGAGAAAAAGGATTCATGTAGCCGACCCCACGTAGTGGGATAAAGGCTTGATGTTGTTGTTGTTGTTGTTGTAGTTGATCAAATTAATTTATTTGAAAACATTTATTTGGTGAAAATGATATAAGTGAGAATTTGAATGATATTTTCTTATTATATTTAAATGAGAACTTGAATTTTAATAGGAGAAAAAAGATTCATGATGCTAGTGGTGAAACTAATGGGTGGCCTGTGGGGGCAGAGTCCCAATAGAAAAAACTTATATAATTGTTTTTCATTTTTATTTTTATATAATATTTATTCTTTTATTCAGCCCATTATAACTCTTTTTTTATACAAAATAAATTACGGTCTCAAGCATGAATAAAAAAAATTAAGTGAATATTTAAAGAATCTAATTTGTGCCCCTATTAGAAAAATTTATGACTCCACCACCGCATGATGTCGACCTGGTTAGTGGGACAAAGGCTAGTTTGTCGTCGTTCTTGTTGTTGTTGAAAGCATTTATTTGGTGGATTTTTTTTTTTTCAAAATTATTGAATCAATTTATCTATTAAAAATTTCGAAATTGCATGGCATGATTAGCTTATTCAAATAAAAATTAAAAATTAAATAAATTAAATATTTTGTGAGAGTATTTATTAAACCCCATATTTCTTTTTTCAGAAATAATAATTAATTCATTTCATTTTGAATTACATAATAATTAAGTTTATCACCATATTTAAAAGAAGAAAAAATAAAAACTTGATTAAGAAAATTTCATGGATATAATAGCTGCTATACTCAAAGGTCCAATAGTAGAATGGAAATTGCTTTGGCATTTGGCACATGAAGATTTAGCACTCTTTAATGAGCTCGACTATTTATGGGCCTATGTTCGGCCCATGAATGCATGTATTTGCTTGATGATATGGATTGTATTAAATGGCATGTCAGCTAATGATTAGCTTAATAATAACTTGCTTATTTGGGAAAAAACTCCTATGGATATTTTCAAGTCCCCCCACTTCCCTTACCCCTAGCCTCATAACCACCCAAATTCCAACATCCACATTGAAGGCATTAGGAGTGTCAATATTGGACCCGACCTAAAAATTTTGGGTTTGGGTTAACCTGAACATGAAGCGGGTCGCGTTCGGGTCTGGAAAATCGACCCGTTTGAAAAATTATGTCGGGTTCGGGTTGACCCAGAAACTCGTCTTCCTCGGCTACCCCACGGCCGCCTGCCCGCTTGCCACGGCTGCCCCGTCACATCCCGAGGCCAGTTGTCAGCGTCGCGTTGCGTCGTTGCGTCTCGAGGACAGTTGCCAGCGTTCACATCGCGTCCCGCTCGCTTCGCGGCCTTCCCGCTTGAGTTCCGCCAGCTTCTGCTGCCGCCGACCATCTACCCACTGTTGCTGCCGACACGCCGATGCCGGTGTTACCGTGTTCGCGGGTCGGGTCGGGTTCAGGTCCAGAAAATCGACCCGGTTGCAAAAATGGGTCGGGTTGACCCGAAATCAAATAGTGCCTGATCAATTTGGGGTTCGAACCGAACCCGTGACTTGAAATTGACACCCCTAGAAGGCATGGTTTACCATAACCCAAAGCATTTTGACTCTAACTCAACAAAGATCATACTATACCCAGTAGAGTCTCAATATTAACTTTGACTCTCACATATTTGATGGAAAACATTCCTTCATTCTTAAATAGCTTATGCTCCCTGGTAAGGTTTATTATCTCCTTTTCTGTAGCATTCGAACCCAGATAATCCTCATAATTGATCCTTTTAAGTCTCACCCTAGTAAAGTTGGCTCATTTCTCTCCTTTCTCTTTAATCATTTCATGAATCATATGTAAGGATTTTGCCTCATTCTTCTTCGCCATACATGAAACCATTAGTATCTCTGCTTATTTGAACACTATAGAAAATTTCCCTCCCTACCTAACCACCCTTAGCTTGGCTTAGATTATCATATTCTAATGTTGTTATTTTTTACTCTTAGCTTTAATGGAGCTCACTTGATAAAAATTCTTTTTTCGCACAATTAGGGAGAAAGTCCTCGATCTAAAATAGGTCCTCATCCTTATAGTCTTTGATGGAACTCACCAAATGATAAAATACTCTTTCCTGCCTATTTTGGGAAAAGATTTCACATAACGGTCCAGCCCACGGTGGCTCTGATACCAATTATGATGCCGCTGAGGATCCGTGTGGTGCCTGGAGGAAGAAATCGCAAGCAATGGAACAGGGAAATACCGAGCTGATACGCTCCAGGTGTTTGTCTATTGATAAAGATGAAAAAACTGTCCAGATATTTCTAATCATTTCTTATATGTAATATCTTCTAGTAAGAGAATAATACTATAAAAGAAAATAGCAGCTAACGAAAATAGTATAGGAGGTAGTGGAGAGCGTATCTGGCGGTTAGCCACGGTAGTTTGTCTCGTGGGTATAGCATAGTGCATCAGTTCTTATCTTTTTTAAAGTTTAGTTTCGGTTTAATAGACACTCATTTCTTTTTGAGTGGTTATAGATATATGGTTATGGTATTGTTAACTCTATAAAATTATCCCAAAGCTATACTTAATCAACATTTCCTTTGTAATGGCATCGATTGATGCTACACTTATAAAAATTAAAAACTCTAAAATTTCATGAATCTTATTTATTTTATATGGATATTTATATAATCAGTATAAAATAAAAAATATATATTATACACATACTAATTTGATTATAAAAGAAAATTTTATGTAATATGTAAAAATATTTGGGATGGACATCTTATTAATAATTCAATTCACAATTGTTTGATCTATATTTGTTCGTTGATAGCACCTGACCTTACTAGTAGGCTGATCCAGTGGGCGTGCATGTTGAAACCTATGTGGAAATGGAGAGCGGAGAATATGGCTAGAGAGAGAGAGAGAGAGAACATATAGAATGCTTAAGAAAACTATAAATCTCAAACTAGCATATAATCAATCAAAATTCGAAGACAAGGTCTAAAATTGTTCCTCATCACCACTTATTTATAAGAAAATAAGGGTAGCGAGCTAATCAACAAATAAATAGACTCGCCAAAGTAGCCCCTTTAACGGGCAACTTTGTGCTATCCCTTTTATCACCCAATAAGCCTTATTTTCCTCATTTCATCATTCCTTCGTTTCGGCAACCGTTTGGCTAGATCTAGTGAAAACGAGGGTGAGGTTAGTTTTTTTTTTATGTTCATTTAATTTTTTTACGGTTAATATTGTTATTTTTTGTGTTTATTTTAAGTCAGGCAAAGTTCTTTCTAAGTTTATACGTTATTTTTAGATCTCACCTACGCATTTTTGTTATGTTTAGTTATCTGTCATTTTCTTGGTAAAAAATGGTTTATGTTACACTCTTTTGACATTGTATTTTTTTGAGTTCAAAGTATTTTATTATTTATTTTTTTGTAATGCCCACAATGTTCCCTGAACCTCTGCTATAAATATATGGACCCCACATCTTTAAGATTATCGTTGACCATGTATAGATTTACTTTCATAACTTCATCATGCGTATGCAACAATAAGCAATCTTCGTTTCGCTCCAGAAATGCATAATACATCATAAAATTTCATTACATTTAGCCTTCTCTTTAAAGCTACCATCAGTACTTAGAGCCAAACTTTCTTTTCAAACGAGTGCTTCCCTCTTCAATCATTTGCTTCATGGTAATTCTACGAATCTTATTCATAACCAATGAATACATTGTGGATTAAGGTATGAGAGGTTGGACAACTCTCGTAAACAAAATTAAAACTACAAGATTCAGATCCTGCTCATCAAATGAATATCTACAACCACAATTTATATAGACAAACAAGCACACCTAAAATATGATAAACATTTAATGAAATTTATTGATACAGTTTATATAACAAGATTATACATGCCTACAAATATGATTTAATAATACAACATGATTTGATAATGCAACTTTATAGCTCATACAATATAAATAAATTTGAAAGGAAATTAATTAAGGCTTGAATTTTCAGTCATTATTTTATTAAATTCTTGTGAATCCTCGATTGATCCGCCGTCACTAGTTCTATAAATAAAATTCTATTATTTAATTCAAATACACGGAGAATATTTAATTTTTCAAAATTTCTCATAAATTGACTAAAGAGAAATTAAGTTAAAAAAAATAAAAAAATAAAACTGAGTTCTTAAGCAAGTGAATCTTATTAATCATAACCTCCCCAACAAAAATGGTATGGACACCTACCATTTACAATTATCATCAAGCAAGGAATTCCATCCCATTATTCCTTCTTACAATAATATGAAAATTTCTTCTAAACCCCTATAGAAAGTACAAATTACAAATACACCCCCTTCCAACCAACGCAATAGCACGCCTCTTTTCTCCACCGACGCCATATACCAACGAGGCAATGATACTATAAAAAAGAAAAAATTCTAAAAGCGAAGAAAAGATAGCTTTTTTTTTTTTAGACCGAAAGGCCGGCGACGAAGGCGACGCCGGTCGACGGCAGCCAAGAGGACCCATAGATAAATTTCCCAACTGTAAACTTTTCAGCTTCCTCCTCCACTGTAATCACCCTGAATCCCGGCCAATTCACCCTCTTCGCCACGCCGGCGCCGGGACCATAGTTCATGTACTCGCCGTAGTAAAGCGTACTGAGCGCAAAATTTCCATTCCACTCCAACCACCCAGCAGGGTTAATGAGATCCCCCATGTAAGACTGAAGGTAGACTACCCTCGCGTACATCTTCCATGGCCGTCCCAAGAAAGTTTGAACGCTTCCCTTCGTCGCGCTGAGGTCGCTCGCCGCCTGAATCCTGCAATTATGGATCGAAATCCCCGTGTTCTGGTTCGGATCCTTGCGGTTCTGTGCGGTGATTGTGTTCTTCTGCATCGCCATTGGCTTTCGCGCCCAAATATTGCATTTTTGGAGAACGACGGCGGCATTGCCGAAGATGAAGTCGACGGTGCCGAAGATGTCGCATTCGCGGAAGAATTGGCGTTGAGAGTGGACATAAAGGGAGTCTTGGTAGCCTATGATGCTGCAGTGGTAGACCACCGCTCGGTCGGCTCCTACACGGAGTGCCACCGCCTGATGCTTCTCTGGCCCCGCGGAGTTCTCTATTGTCATCTCTTTCATTATGAACCCTGCCCCTGTCGACGCTGCAGGTTTTATAGCAAGTTAGTTTGTTTTCGCCTGCCAACTATTCGATGAAATGCCTGACTGAAAAAATGAATTAAAAAAATCGGTTTTTTTTTTATAAAAAAAAATGAGGAACATACCGAAGGTAGCCGTGTGAAAAGTAGTGAATTTGTCGTACACGCTGCGTGAGCCAGCGACGACGGTCTTTCCCATGCCGTCGCCGACGAACATAAGATTGGTCTTCTTTCGCGCGACCTTTATATTCTCGTCGTAGCGCCCGGCCTTCACGTAGATAATGATGCGCCTGGCACTGCCTTGAGGCGCGGCGTTTACGGCATCACCAATGGTTCTATGCGTCCCGCTGCCGTCCTTCGACACAATATAATCCGCCTGAATCGAGCTCCCCGGCGTCTGAAGCAATTTCCTGTCAATCGAATTCACCCAATCCGGGAATTCAGAGCCCAGCAATCGCCTCCGCTTCCTATTCTCAATCGGAATGCCGGAGAAATCCTGGTTCCGGCTCGCCGCAGCGAAGATGGCGAGTGAATTGCTAACCAGCTCTGCAACATCTTTCAAAAAGCTCGTCATTTGACCCCGCACATACCTGTCGTCAACAACTTCAAGCCCCTCGGCGCAGGTGTCCTGATTCGTGAGCGCCGCGCTGAGCCAAGTGAGCGCGTCCTCGTCAGAACCGGCGGCGTCGCCGCCGGCGACGACGAGAAGAGACTGACTGAGCTGGTCGATGGAGTCGTCGAGCAGCTCGACGCAGTCCTCGTACGCGGAGCGTGCGAGGCTGTTCATTGAAACGCCGGAAATGGAGGAAGCAGCGTAGCGAGCCTCGCCGACGCGTTGACGGGTCATGTTGAGGGAGATGTGAACGAGCTCGCGCTCGCCGGCGGACAGCGCGCCGGGAAAGTTCACGAGCGAGCTGATGCAGAGCTCGGGGTATTGCGTGAGCTTACAGGTTTGTGAAATGGCCTGAGTTGGGCTTCGGGTCAGGTTGGAGTGGCGGTTATTCTTGCTGCGGATAAGCAAAGCCACTGAAGCAGCGGAGGCTGCGAGGAGGAGAGTGGCCGTTATGCCCAATAGAAGAAAACGCCTCCGGCGACGGCTGCGGAGCGAGATAGGTTGGGTCGGCGGTGGGTCGGGGAAGCTAGAGCGATTGGACTCGGACGGGCCAAGCTTTCCGTAGTCCATTGTTGATGATGGATGCTTAAGACTGGCAGCGAACAGATAGTGGAGTTTATAAGGGAGCGAAGCAAAGAAGTTCAGTTAATATTTAGAAGGTTGGTGACGCGTCCATTTCGTTCCAGCCAAGGCCTGGTGGTCGGAAGCTGTATTTATGGTGGAGTTCTTTGCAGAGAAACGGAGAAAGATCTGCCATTGATTTCGCAGGGTGTGGGTAATCAACGGTGGATTAACGATTCTGGTTTGGTTAAAAAGTTTATTAGAATTTTTTTTTTCTCTTTAACGATGCGGAAGGAAAAGGTAGTGCGGGGCAAAGGTTAGCAAATCTGTCTTTTCCGAAAAAAAAAAGTAAAAAGTTTTTTTAAAAAAATATTACTAATTAATGATTTAGGAAGAAAATTCTGTTATGAATTCATCGTGAGCAAATCTTCCCAAGGATAAGGAAGAAAAAATTGTGTACTATATATATTATATGAGGATTATTTAGTTTATTTTCAAATTAATGCTATATATAGAGGTTTTTTATTTGATTAATCTCTTAATTTCAATAATTTTCAAATATATTCTCAATCAATATAAAATATATTAGAATATCCTAACATAATTTTTTACATTAAAAAAAATATTAGGTTTAATTTTGAATTTTTGGTTTATTGGGTTAGTACGTAAGAGAAAAAAATAATTAAATCCGAATCAAATAGAACCCGATGCATGTGATGCACAAACTTGAATGAAAATGAACACAATTACCTCATAATGGCTCCTAAATTTCAACTAGATAAAAGATTTTGCTTGAGACGGCTTTCTAAAGCTGATTTCCAGTATAAATTTTAAGAATTATAAAAGTTGTTTTAGAAAATAGTAAGAAAATCATTCCAAACGAAATCAAAGCAACCACAATTTGCAATGTCTACAATGAATGAAATTATTACTTGCGGTCACCAGATGCCGTTCAGAGGCGAATCAGGATGACATCATCAGTTGTTGTGTATCAGTGCTGTGTACCACTATGTACTGAGAGTATGTTGCGCATCATGATTCGCCTCTGGACCGTTCTCCTAAGCGCATCAAGGAATAACTCTGATGATTTCCGATGATCCTCAGTGAATATTTTTCCATGGCTGAGAGAGAAAGGAATAAATATGGTTGTAAGATGATAGAAAGGGATGGATTCCTCGTCTTGAAATAGATTTTCTGGCAATTCGGATTATACATTTAAGAGCTGTTAATCTGTGTGTAAAGAGAAAAGGATTATTCATTAACGAAGGGATCTTAGAAAAAGGAGTAATAGATAGGGACGTAAGGGAGACAGGGCATGTGCAGGCAACGAAGATTTCCACATGGGGTTTTGAATGGTGTGGTTCAAAGATGGTGGGTCTAAGAAAAGATGAGCGAGCAATTGCTCAGGTTTTTTGTTTTTTTTTTTTCACTTTTAAAAAGATAAATATATTAGCCCAAAATTCTAAAATAATTTTTTTTTTCGCCCTTAAAATTATGTATATCCTAATTCTATTTTACTCACCCTCAAAAGAGAGGCTTAGGTCATCTTCAGTCGAACGTCAAACGGATGTATGGCGTCACTCGCGAGCTCCAATGGAACGCTAAAATATTGGCATCGCACTGTTCACCCACTATACATATTTATTTTTTAATTAAAAAATTTGGTTATTAAATAGAGTGAAAAAAAGTATGTGAAAGAATATATTAGGAATATTCTTTTTTTATGTTAGAAAATGGGATTCGGTTGGAGCCAAGTTATTGCATTTTTATGTATTACTGTATTTTGGAGTGAAAAATGAGTTTTTCTGTTGGATTCAACCAAAAATCTCATTTTTTACTCCAAAATGCTGTGAAACTAAAAAATGTCATGATTCATCTCCAATCAAACTCCATTTTGCCAAGGTAACCATCATTTTCTTCTTTGTCGCGTTTCTTCGGAAGTTCGATAGAGATCGAAAAATAAAGGAGATGAACAGTGCAACACCAATATTGGCATCCCACTGTTCACCCGCAACCAAATAGCGGAAGTTTTCCGTTCGGCTGGAGCTCGTGAGCGACACAATTCAAGCATTTGAAGTTCGGTTGGAGATGCTCAACTCCATTTTGCCAAGGTAACCGTCGTTTTCTTCTTTGTTGCGTTTCTTCGGAAGTTCAGTAGAGAGGCTTGGGCCATCTTCAGTCGAACGTCAAACAAATGTATGTCGTCACTCGCGAGCCCCAAAGAAACGCCAAAATATTGGCATCGCACTGTTCGCCCACTATACATATTTATTTTTTTTTAATTCAAAAAATTGGTTATTAAAGGGAGTGAAAAAGTATGAGAAAGAATATATTATGAATATTCTTTTTTTTTTTTATGTTAGAAAATAGAATTCGGTCGGAATCAAGTTACTGCATTTTAGAGTGAAAAATGAGTTTTTCTGTTGGATATGCCCTAAGGCTTTGTTTAGGATTTTTTTTTTTTTGTATTTTTCTTTTCATATTATAATCACAATTTTATTTGATTCCTATTTTTTTACTATTTTCAATACTTTTTGTTTTAGGAAGCTGTTTTTTATAATAGCTTTCAAAAAAGCTATTTTCTCCACATTAGTTTTATAATTATCTTCATAAAAAGTTACAGCTATCCCAAATGAACTCTTAGTCTTCATTTTAGATTGCTTTCATACTAATTTATAAAGTTACCGTAGAGAAAATGATTTTTTAAAGATATTTTAGAAACCAACTTTCAAATAAAAAAATTGTCCCAAATGAAACCTTATTTTACCTTTGAAGATGGAAGGAAAAAAAAATCTAAGTATTAAAATCAAATTTATAGGCTTTCTTATTATTGATTATTAGTTCTAATTTTATATAGTATTGTTTGCCTCATTTCCTATGAGCAACTTTGTCATGGAAAGCTTAGTGACACAGTTAAGGGTATAATTTATTATGGTTTTGCATGGCTTTGAGTGTTGAGAGAGTTGGATGTCAACTCTGTATTAATTAGTTTTTTTGGTAATTGAATTAGATAAGTTCTACAAATATTTAATTTGTTGTGGTAGTTATTCATGTTTTATATTTAACATTTAAGGCATTTAGAATATTATATGAAGTCAACTAATATTTAAAATCAAGCCAAAAATCATTATTATGATAAATCTAACAAAAATTGCTGATTGATTCGGTTCAATCGCTTCGATTTTAATTAAATTTTTCGATTGATTATTATGACAACTTCATATTTCTCTACTGCCGCAAATATTCCAGTACATAACAATAATCATAATGTTCAACTACTAGCATTTTAAACGAAGTTTTGAAAGAATTTTGTGCGTGTGATGTTTTAAGTTGCGAGAAGCAACTCGAATAATATTGTAAGTAGGGATGTCAAAACAAGTTCAGTATTGATGTTAGGCGCATTACTCCGTATCAAAAAGCTCGAATTTGACTTATTTTTACAATCTCATTCACTTATGGAGTCAATTATATAAATGTGTATATATGCTTGTATTGATATGAATTTTGCTCAAACAACTTGTCAGAAATTATTGGTTTGAGAGATATGGATATGATTTAATAGCTAGAAAATGGTCCACCCTTGTTCAGAAATCACAAGCTCCAACTGGAGCCATGGATGGGTTATCCTTGATTCAAATGATATGGTGAACAATTATTTCCTTTTTAGCATAGTTCTATTGTTGTTTTCATCTTGTCCTTCCACTATAAGGCATAAATTTGTTTTGGTAAGACTTTAGGGTTCTAATAGTTTACCGGAAATTGATTTGATCGATTTCCAAATACACTGAGAAATTACTGCCGTTCACATTGCTGCTAGCCACTATTGCTGCCTGTCACCAGCGTTCGCCCGGCTATCATCATTGTTGAGCTTGACACTGCAAATAAAAAAGTATAATTATTTGTATTTATTTAACACTGATTCAAACAACTCAAAATACTTCAAATACATAGCATTTTTTTTTTAGCAAATCAAAAAGCCTGATAACCTTGAGCATCAATGTTATTCACTTGAATCTATTTGTGCATGGTAAAATTATTCTGTGCAGACACCAGATCACCTGAATGTTAATCAGAACGCATCACGTCTCTCGATACACAACGGTACCCAGCTACGGTGCATAGCAAATGGGTGACGTGGCGCGTTCTGATTCGCCTCTGAACGATGTCTGTATCCGTACAAAATAATTTCACCCATGCATGCATGAGATTTAATATATTTTTGTAAGTTACAATTCTATTTCACATGTTAAATGAGGATTGCATTTTTTTTTCCTCTACATGGAAAGGAAGTAATTTAATACTATTTTGAACTTAGTCAAATTTAATAGTTTTATTTCATAATAGGTAATGACGGTGATTATGACTGGAAGATGTGTACAGATTTGATAGCATGGCCATGTTAGTCTTGGAAGGTACTGGAAGATAATTAAGACATGAGTAGAGTCTATTGACTCAACTTTTTACATATGTGCCACTATTTGAAAATTAATTTTGATAGTTTTTTTTACTATTTTTTAAAGTTATTTTTTAATACAAAAATTTGTGAAGTAAAAAATTTTATATTAAAAAGTTATTTTAGAAAGCAATAAAAATACTATTCTGTGCAGACACCAATCGTAGCTCTGTGTCTGGAGGCAAATCAGAGTATGTCACATCACCCGGTACATAGCAGATACACAACAGCGGTACACAGCTGGAGGTAACGTGACGTGCTTTAATTTGTCTCCAGATGACATCTGGTATCCGTACAGAATAATTAATCATTTGGAGCCTAAGATTTTGAGAGAAAGTTTTGGCTTTATTAAATTTAAATTTTTTTATTTGAAAAGTTATTTATGTGAAGAGTTTGTTGGTTTGTGTATGATTGGTGTTGTTAGATATTCCGTCAATTCTAAAATGATTTCATTGGCACTCCTAAATAAACAACCCCATGTTGTAAAGTTTACAGCTTTATAAATTTTAATGAAGATACTTACATTTTTTCTCCTGTTCCAGTAGATTTTTTTTTAAAACTAAAAAAATAACTTTACAAAACAATAAGAAATTCATTACAAACGAAGCGATAAGTCAGAATATGGTGAGTAAAAAATTATGTTTTACGTACATTTTATTTATTTGGAATAGAATTAACGTATCATCGTGTGAATTTGAATCTAATTTGGTTAGCTAATAGTCAACAAACTAATTTGATGCGTGTCCACAATATTTTGTCACATATTCA